TTTTTTTTTTTTTTTAAGAATGAAAGAGAAGCGTCTTTCTTTAGTTCGTTTTTCTAGAATCTCTGCGCGTTTCACAGAATTTTGAGGAAAGAAAAGTCGCTTCAATTTCGAATGGTTCCTTTCAAAAGTTTAAAACGAAACGAACAGAATGAATGTCTACCGGTATTTTTTATGGTGTTAACTTGGAATGAACAAGGAAGAGAGAACACAACGTATAATTTCTGAAAATTTGTTCAAACGCGATTAAAGACAGTCGTACCTACTTTTTGAACATACGCATATAACATATACCTTTCGATTAATCACACATCGCAGAATTGAGACGGGGGGGGGGGAAAGGAAAAGAAGAAAAAGGGGGAAGAAAAAGAAATAAGCGTTGACGTTCTCCTTATACTCTGACCATTCTTACCGTTCTCTGAAACGCAACCTGCTGACCGAGATGAAAATAAGAAGAAGGGAAGAAAAATGTCTGAGGGTAAGTCAGGGTTACGAGAGAAGAGAGAAGAAGGCGAAGTGGGGAAGATCGATTCCGTGACCGTCGTGCTTTTTTCAAGGCTGTCCACCGTTAAATCCACGATAATTCGTTTAGAGAGAGAACCGGTATAGATCCGCGCGGTTCGGACTTTTATGGCTCCCCGAATGCCGGTGAACATCTCTCTGACGTTCTCCGCAGACTTTTGCGTTATGTTCGCAACTGCTGTTTCCTTTTTCCTCTGGACACACGTTCGTACACACACTCACACATACACGGTTGACCCATTTGGCAAAGAGGACCGCCACGGAGAATTCCGCATTAGCCAGCCGCCGCGCGTTTTTACCGTTAAAACTGACCTTATAGATCCAGTCGCTGGCGCGCTGCCTGAAACTTAGGGGTCGATCGACTGGCCGAAACATAGAATGGCCGTGAACGGTGACTTTAGTCCGAACGGTAGTTGAACCTGCTGCAGAAAGAACTCATTGCTCGAGTTAGAATGATTAATTGGATGTGAATGTGTAAATTGTCGCAAATGAAATGGCCGTGTTCTTATTATAGTTGAAAATAATAAGATCGATCGAATTTTGGCTCGTCGGAATCGGTACGTTTTGTACGTCGTAAGGCAATTTTGTATTTGCGATGATATTTAGTAGATCATTCTTCGGGCTTCAAGCCTTTAAACAGGCGTCACAAAAATATGATTTAACAATACTTTCAGTCGCTCGATTCTGCGTGATTTTACAACAGCGTTTATGAAATCGGTTATTACATGAAACACGTACAAAATATCTCCGTTTATTTAATTATTAATTTTATCTGAATCTTATCGAAAATAAAGTTCAAGTAGATTTGCGTGTATATGACTGTGAACTTTCATTAAATTAATGCCCGATAATGAGTTGCATTAACAAAACTGCTGAAATGAAATGGATAAAATATAACAAGTATAAAATAAAATTGTTAAAAATAAATGTAGATTAATTCGCTCACCTTATATATAGATGTCCTTTGCAAACGTACGATCGCAGCAATTACAACATCTCTTCCCGATTACTATAATTTTACAGTTTATGTACCGTGAAACTTGTAAAATCTACAAAGACGAGGTCCGATCTAATGAAAGACGGAGAACTCTGATCAATCTCTTTAAAAAAAAAGATGGCAACGACGCCGATAATGTGGAACAAGCAACAAAAGAACTTTACAAAGGACAAACAGGCTATCTGATCAAAGAAAAGTTGCTATCGTGCTTGCAACAAGTATCGATCCTTGTTGTTAAAAAAACTCCGAAACAAATACGCAGATGGTAGCCCACAACGGAAAAACTAGATCGATTTCCTGACCTGCAAAAACTCAATTCCAAGCGGGAAAAACAGACCGGAAGGAACTTCGTTCCACGCTCGAACGACACAAACGGAATACGTGATGAAAAAGATAATTTACCGAAGCAAAAGAAAAGCGTTATTCGAGGGTTGAGCGAGGAAAGAAGAATTTAAAAACAAAAAAAACTCTATAATTGATGCAAGACGATCGTAGTCGTGTATTATCCACGGAAATGAAAATTCTGTTTCTCACGAGACTAACGAAATCGATGAGCTCTTTCCTACAATATTATTCATTACCGTGAAATTCTACGTGAATTTCATTGCAGATTTTTATGCATTTATAGGAAATTTAAAAGTATTTTGCCGAAACATCTATTATAATGTTTGAAACAGTTCAAGGAAATTTAAGTCCTACTGTTTTAATTATTTTCACAGAAACGTGAAATTGCAGTTTAGTAATTATCTTTCTTCTTCATTGTACAACCTAAATTTCGTTCAAAGCCTTTAAGAAGCACAATGTGTTACAGTTATCATAACATTGCTCGAAAACTAAACTCGAACGATGATTTATTTCCTAATTCGTCCAAATATCGCTCGTATAATGCCCATAAATGGAAATCCAACCCTAACAGAGCACAGTACGCCTACGGTATCAAGGTTTCTCAGAAACTAAAGCAAGATCATCGGGAACGTTAATCTTGACAACGTGTTGCACAAAGCTGAACGAAACCGGCGGTGTATGCTGTTTTCCACATAATTGGCGAAATCGCGCGGATTACAAGGAGGCACGGGCTGCTGCGGATCAAAGGGCGAAAGTGGCCTGCCATTTACGACAGGAAAGTTGCCCGGTCGATAAAAATTGATGAACACGGGCCCGGCTAGAAACTCTCAGCTGTTATAGTCAACTAGATAAGAACAAAGAGCCGTCGTTGCGAAAGGAAAAGGAGGTACGTTAATGGCCTTTCCAGCTGGCGGAACTTGACAAATAGTGGTCGACGGCGATGAAAGAGCGGCTACGTTTCGTTACGTGGCCAACGTAACGAGTTCGCTCTTTCAGAATGGGAAAAAGAGCCGACCTATAAAGAACCGAGGCAATGCGGAGGACAGCTCAGGACCTGGAGGGGAGTTTTCGCGAGACTACCTTCTTAACTGCCTACGCAAGCCAAAAAGATATATCGTGTGTCCTGAACAGTCTCGGGGGAGGACGTCTCGACGAGGAAAAGAGGAAAAATTTGAGAGACGTGGCAACGCCTGGAACCGGGGCAGGGGGGAGGGGAGGATACACGGGAGATAAATTAACATCTCGCCAGGACGCGAGATAAGGAGGGGAGGGTGAACAGGGCTGCGGTTGACAGGTCGAATCCGAGGTATGGGAGTGTCGATGCGTAAATAATATATTACGCTTGGCGTTGGGAACGAAACTCGCTGAAAAACAGCAGGATAAATTTTATACTTGATTAATCGTGGAAATAGATGTATACTTATACACCGTACGAAGGATAAATGAAATTGGAATTTTTGCTATTACGAGCTAACAGCGTGTGCAACTGAAATCATCAATGTGTGAAATCAGAGTTTTTGTAATTAACAGTGTGCACGTAGGTACAATGTCGTTCACGAGTATATTGGGACTTGGTGATTTTATACGAAATACAATAATTAATCTAAAGCGTTGCAGAGAGCGTTAATCGATTGGATATTTATATATTCTATATAAATACAGGTATTGATGTGTAGCAATAAAGCAAAATTGTTATATACGTGTAACTACTACAGTAGAAGTATGAAGCAAAATTTTGTTAAAATTATTTGGAAGAATTCCAGTTAATAAATTGTATCAATTATGTGTTAGATCTTAAAATCTGTTAAATTATCACAGCTGCTGATAAAAAATTTCAAGTGAATTAGATAGGAAAGTTCAGGAAGTTCGTTCAAAATCTGAAATTAAAAGATGCGACGAATATATATGAATAATTAATTTTTTTACACCAAATTGACCAGATTATTGTTATAATGTTAAACACAGAAATATTTAATGATCTAACGTTTCAAACGTATAAAAATGTTTAAGTTTATTTAAATCTTCGTTTCGTAGCCCAATATTTGTGAACAAGAATGTACCTACATTTACTTGGAAATAAGAGTAAATGAAACGATAAACGTTCGAGCAAGAGAGCCAGGAGAAAAACGTCGAGGTCCAAGGATAAATTAATGTGCTTAACGCGGAGAAATTAAGGATGCGAAGGCTGGAAACGAAGATTAAATTCCGGGCATTAATTTATTAAATGTACCGTGGTTAATTGAAAATAAACGCGAATGGGGCATGAGCGTGAGCGAAAAAGAGAATAAATGATCCAACGAAATGAGAGAGTTCGAGAAACAAAGAACACGCGGAGGGCGACTGAAAGATTGCGTACTCCGTTCAGTTTCGTGTTCAACCTTATGCAAAGCATGTACTGATTAACTGGAAATGACTGTAGACACAACGGAGACAACGAGAAGAATTCGCGTGTAATAATGTGTAATTGAGTGTACGAAATTGAAGTGTGGATTTAACCGTGGGGAACTTTCCTGCGACTTTTCTGAGTTTCTCCAGTAAAAGTGTGCACATAAGTGTGTACAAAGATACATTTCTGAATGCATTTTTTAACTAAATCCATCAATAATTAGTACATCAATGTAATTTGTCGATATGAAACTAAAAATTACCGAGAATTAAGACAAAGATATTGACGGAAAAAGGAATCTGTGAAAGTTTGTATTTATTTTACAAACGTAAAAGACAATTGAATTCTTCGAGAATCATTATATGGACGTTAAAAAATCCAGAGCTAAAACTTTCGACGTAACTCGTTACTTTGTTTCTTTCATTTTGTTCCTTTTTCAAGATAGCCTCCTCGATTACTAATGCCCTTCGTTATGCCAAGAAACATTAACAATAGCCTTGATCTCTCGCGAAAAAACACGCGACGCAAGAACGATGAAGGAAAATGCTGCGAACTAAATACCACCGGGACGGCGTATAATAATTCAAGAAAACTACAAACAAGAGACTTTCGTCTCGTTTCTGGAAAGCACAGGGACGAACGGGAGCTTTAATTGGAAGAATCGTCGCCGAACGAGGTAGCCATAAACCGCAAAATCGCAGTTGAGAACCAAGCGTCCCTGGCAAATTCAATTTCCCGAGTGCTCGTAAAACTCTCCGATCCCATTCCCGCGTCTTCTTCTTCTGCTTTCGGGAGCACTGGCTTTCGTTGTCCGACAAGGAACGATCGTTGACGACATCTGTCCTAGAATCACCAGGTGGAACACGGGAAGAAAAGGAAGAGAAGGAAGAAACAAAAGAGGAAGGAGGGAAAAGAGCGATTGCGACGGATCGCGTCGAAGAAGGTGGACACCTTCCCACCTTCGGAGGGTGAAGAAGATTTGATATCGGTTCGGAGGGGAACGCTGCAAAATACGGGGAGGTCAAGTAGCAGCCGGAGAGATACATTCGAGATAAAGGCGGCGATGTCAAGGCGACCGTGACACGGTGAGACACGTCTCGATAAGGACGCGGAGAAAAATACGGCGGGGCTGGTAAATTGCGAAGCGAAACGTCTCGAGGCTTCCTTGATCGGCTGATATATCGCGACGACACGGCCGCAACGACGTGACTTGGACGCGAGAGGACTCTCCGAGAGCCGCCTCGAGGGGAACACCTTAAATGGTGCACGCGCGCCTCTTTCGCTCCCTTTTGCCTCGTTTACACGCGGCAGAACGCCGATTAATCGGCAATAAATAACGCGCATAAAGGGCATTATCTTATTAAGATACATCAACGTCCGGTGTTTTTCCATTATCGCGCTCCGGCTTTCAACGTTGCCGACTCCCCCTAGAAACCGACAGACCCAGAAAGAATTCTGCTCGCGCACCGAGTGACTTTCTTGCACGCACCCGTTGCACGTGTTACGATTCTCTGCGTTTGATAATACGAACAGGATTGTTGAGATTACTTCTATGTACTCTCGGCTGATGTTTATGTTGAATCAAGAGGATTGAGAGCTTGAGAGTGCACGTATGGGATGATATCGTAAGAGGATGGAGCTGGAGAAGATGAAATGGAGCAATGGGGAGTTCCTGGTGAAATATTTATCCTGGTGAATCGGAAGGGTCTAATGGTATTTAAACATTTAGCTGTATTCATTTTTAGCAGTGTATATCTATAAGTTATAAAAATAATCTAAGTTATAAAAATAATGTATATCTATAAGATATAAAAATAATCATTCATCTTGCTACCAAAACACTATCTACAGTTTTATCTTGAAAAGCATTATTTGTAAGTATTCGTCATACCGAATAGAATAAATTACATCTAGCAGATTTTTATGCAACGTTAGATTTTTATAAATCGAAAAGACGGAATTCAGGCGGGAGTTACAATTTGTCTACTAAATATTGTATCGTCCGCTATATTTTATACATTTTAAGTTTCCACAAATGCATAAAAATTTACTCGTTCAGAAATTTACCTCCAGCCGTTTTTACAACGCTAATACAAATCAAGTTTCGAATAAAATAAAATACGATAAAGCAAATAACGAAAGTAGTTCAGGAACGTGTGTGATTTTTTACAATTAAATTTTATGTGAATATCGGCGTATTGTGAGCAAACATATCGATATATGT